AGGGGGGACACATTGTTGCCTAGTCGCCTAGGCAATGGATTTCTTTTTTAAGTAAAAACATATATCCTAGGTAGTTTCCTAGGTTCCATAACCATATTTCCTTGATAATTATCCATATTTTTCATAAGAAATGTATAAATTTCATGTTATAATCTAGAAGATCAACATATTCATGAGAAGAAAAAGAAGAAAGAAAAAAAATAAAAAAATATAGGGGCTGAACCCCTATTTTTATAGGAGGAGAAGAAGAATTTTAAGTTCTTCCTTATTGGTTCAGGTTTTGAAGTCTTTGATGGTTCAATACAGCAGTTAGCAATGTCTGTGTTGATTAAACCCTAACAAATAAGAAAATAATAAAAAGAAATTAGTATATAAACACACAAAATGATTATTCTAGTTTAATAATGTATTTTATAATTATAATCTCAAATATTAAGAATACAATAGTATTTTATAACATCTTATACAAAACTGCTTGGCAATTAGGTGAGGTGAGCCTCCAAGGGCGCCTTGTCGCCTAGGCATCGCCTTGACAACTATGGTTGGGTATATTGATGTCGACGAGAATGCTGGGAGGAGGTTAATTTGTGGTGTTGATTGGTATTCGTCTTTCACATGTAAGGTTAAGATCTTGATTTTTGAACAAAAGTTCGGTCTGCTACTCTTGGGAAAAGCTTAACTGGCTGTTAAAAATGAATTTTTATTTTCTTCAAGACAGGCCTGTATGAAATAGTTAGCCATATCTTACACCCTAGCTTATTTCATATGTAACTGTTGTTCTCTTTGTGCTCCCTGTTCTCTTGTTCTTTTCTGTGTTTGTGTACTTTTAATCTTCTAAAACATAGTCAGTCTATGGTGGGGTTCTTCTCTAGTTGAATGAGTCATGGACTCAATTCCATCAGCATTTAGAAATCAGGGCACCTAGATTGTGTAGGGTAATGCACAACATGTTAAGAGCAAACGTATTTTGTCGTCACTTGAATTGCAGGTGAAACTCTAAAGATTGAACCAATTATTTCATCCAATAATTTTTTAATTTTATATTGATGAAATTCTCTTGTTAGCAATTATTGATCAAGTATGTATGTGTAGGTAATTCATATTGATTTCAACTTCAAATGGACCTGCAAACCTCCAAAAAAATGCCCCAAAAGTGGTCCTAATGAATGGGGTACATTGACATTCAAAAGAAAATGAGAACTTTTTATTAAGGCCACCAAAGCATACACTCCTTATTTGAGACAAGGAGCATCTGTAAATGATCCTCACCAAATGCCCATGACTGGCTTGTTAAACTTGACTTTTCAAATTGGACTTTTTTAAAAGTCCAATAAGCTACTGAACCTAAATGCCAATCACAGCCTTAGAGCCCCCTTCCACTAATAAATTTTCAGAATTCAAACCCCTTCGCCTTTTCCAATCTAAGACCTTGATTTTCTGCTAAGAGTTCAGCTTTTTTGGGAAGATGAATGGAGTGGAATTGTCAAGATTTTTGAATGCTGCATCAAGTTATCTCCAAAGATACTACAATAAATTATTGTTTTGAAATCAGGAATGAACAGGTTGTGTGGCATTCAACATTCAGTAGACCATTATTGGATAAAAGATTGAGTGCATCCACTCAGAAAATTGGAGAGTGCAAGCATTTCACCTTCAGACATGCGGTGGTGGAAGAAATGTATAAGCAGACACTTCGGTTCCAAATTCCTCCTTTTCCCCTGGTGTCTCTTTCCCCCTATTCTGTTTTACCCATGAATGTGTAGAAGAAAGAAGACAAAGTGGCAAGGCAGGGGTGGTAATCAAGTTGGACCTAGAAAAGGCTTATGACAAAGTAGATTGGGATTGCTTGTTGGAGATCCTAAGCCTGAGAGGTTTCGGTAGAAGGTGGGTGAGATGGATTAAAGGGTGTATAAGCTCTGCTTGGTTTTCAGTTCTGCTAAATGGTGAACCTGCTGGATACTTTAATGCAAACAGGGGCCTGAGACACGGGTGTCCTCTCTCCCCACTTCTCTTCACTTTGGTGGCAGATATACTTGGCTACTTGCTTCAAAAAGTGAGGGAGTTAAATTTGCTGAAAGGATTCGAGATAGGTAGGTCCCAGTTTCTCACTTGATGTTTGCAAACGACATCATCCTTTTCCTGGAGGCGGATTGGGAAATTATTTCCAACTTAAAAAGAGTGTTTAATATTTTTGAGTGGGTGACTGGACTCAGAATTAATTTCACTAAAAGCAGCATTGTGGGCCTCAACAGTGGTGACTCTCTTTTGGACAGGTTTAAGGAACTATTATGGTGTGAGTTGGAGAGACTCTCCATTGCCTATTTGGGAATCTTGGTGGGAACCCGAGAAGTCAGTTTTTGGGACCTGGTGGTGGAAAAATGTGAGAAAAGATTGGCCATGTGGAAGAAAAGCTTTCTTTCAAAAGGAGGAAGACTTACTCTAATTAAGGCATCCCTTGCTAACCTGCCAATCTACTTCTTGTTGGTTTTCCGAGTCCCAGGCAAAGTAAAAAGCAAGATTGAAAAGCTACAACCGGATTTCCTATGGGAGGGGGGTGGTGAAAAGAAGTGTCATCTAGTAGGTTGGAATCAGGTTTGCAAGCCTGAGGAAGTTGGTGGATTGGGACTAGGTCATATCAAAGAAAAGAACTTGGCCCTTCTTGGAAAATGTCTATGGAGGTACCCCTTGGAGATGAAAGCATTGTGGACAAAATCTTCAAGAGTAAGTACAAGGGACATGCCAATGGTTGGGATAGCAAGGTCCACATGAACCAGGTCAAAGCCTCTAACCCTTGGAAAGGTATTGCTTCTATCTATGACCTCTTTATTGATTCTGTTAGATATCAGGTAGGGAGCGGAAATAGAATCAAAGTTTGGACTGATTTGTGGTGGGGAGAGGATACCCTTGCTAACGCCTATCCTAGAATCTTTAACCTGTCCCAATCCAAAGAAGCCACAGTAGCCACTAGCTTTAACCCCTCACCCTCGGGAACAACTTGGATTCTAAACCTCAGAAGGCCTTTAAGAGAAATAGAAGTTGCTGATATAGCCAGTTTGCTAAACTCTCTTAATGAGGCTTACATCTCTCTTGCTACCCCTGACCAGAGAATCTGGAAACTTAATCCTGCCGGCAAGTTCTCCTCTAACTCCTTTTTCAAGGCTCAAGTGTCAGAAGATCAGGGGTGTCCCTCTCCAGCTAAGAAAGTCTGGAGACCACACATCCCCTGTAGAGTCTCCTTCGTGTGGGAAGCCTGTTTAAAGAGAATAAACACCTGCGAGCTGATTCAGAAAAAGTTTAAAGGCAGATTATGCATCTCCCCTCATGTCTGTCCTCTTTGCCTTGACGACGGGGAGACAACTGATCACACCCTTCTTCATTTCCCGGTCACTAGGAAGATTTGGTGCTTCTTCCTAAACCTAGTTGGCTACAGCTGGGTGTTCCTGGAGAGGGTGGTGGACATCTTGTGGCAATGGCAAGGCAGAGGTCTAGGAAAAAGAGGAAGATTTTACTGGAACATAGTGACCCATGCAGTCTTGTGGGGCATTTGGGAAGAAAGGAACAATAGAATTTTTGAAAATAAAGCTAGAAATGTCGAAGATCTAACTTCCTACGTGACATATCTCTGCAACCTTTGGGTAATTGTCGGAAGTTTTCAAAGGTCTCTCCCTAAATGATCTCTAGAGCAACCTTCCAGAAATCCTCCACTCACCAAGATCTGAGTGGATTGAGACAGTCTCTTAGAGAAGAAGAAGGAGAAATGACTTTAAACTTTGATGGTAGCGCCCAAGGATCCACAGGTCAAGCAGGAATTGGAGGTGTAATCCGAGGGGAAAGGGGGAATATTTGCTGGGCTTACAGTGGTCCGATTGGAAGGGTAGATGCCACAAAGGCAGAGGTCCTGGCTGCACTTACAAGAATTCGCCTTGCCAAACGGCTAGGTTTATCCTCTTTAACCATTAAAGGGGATTCTGCAAATACTATAGCTTGGTTACAGGAGAAGGGAGGGCCCTGGAGACTAGCCCACTTCCTAGCTGAAGCTAGGGATATCTTAATCTCTATGAATATGAAGCTGGTCTGGATTCATAGGGGGCAAAATTCTGTTGCTGATATCCTAGAAAAATCAGGGGTCTCTAGTGATTTCTTGTTTAGTGACAACTGTTTGCCTTTGTAATCCTGCCAAGCCACTCTTGGCTGCAGTCCTTTTCTTAAAAAAAATAGGGTGTGGCTGCATCTTGCACCCCCACCCCCCGCGGGGATGCTTGTAACAGTCTTAATACGTTGCTAATAAAATCTTTTCATTTATCAAATAAAAAGTCAATCTTGACAACACTGCATATGTTTATTCATTATCACATATCTATTAAGAAAACTTCCTGAAACATGTCAGATATGCATATGAACCATAACTATTAGGAAAGCATGTTAGGTTTGTTGTTGATATCATTTCAACCATCTATCTCTGAGATAAAATGGGGCAGGGTGAAAGCAGCAGAATAACTGTATTGTCATCGTTTTAACAATGACCATAAAGGTAGATGTCTATTTTGTATTTCTGTGACAGTTACACTATGTTTGACTGAGATGTATCGGTTTTGAATGTTTGATCAATGGATATTTGACATAGGAAGTTCCCAATTTAAAGATTGTATCACTAGATTATTTTTATTTTCTAATTAGGAATTGAAGGTTTTACCTTTGCTAGTTGAAAAATGTCCTAGTAGAATAATTTGGAGGGTCTGGGCTGGTCTGGGTGGTGATTTGCAGTCTTGTATTGTACAAAATGGTAGTCTATGCATTGATGAGCTACCTAGGATTGTTTTTATATGCAATGAACTAGAACACTTCATCCAATCTACGATGGCTTCTTTTATATCACATGAGCTTCTTATTCTTTCTAGAAATGGCCAAGTAGCCCATGCACCAAAAAATAGTTCATTGTTCTTTTTTGAATGATGGATGAAATCTTAAGTTTTTTTTTTTTTTTCCTGATGTTGCTGCAGTATCCACTCTTATATCCAAATGGCAAGGTGTTTGTTTATGAAAGTTGCACACCCTTGGCGTGTTCTTTTGGTTCTGTCGAAGGTGCTTTCACATTTATCCCTGGCAGGTAATCCATGAAATGCATCATTTGTATAAAAAAGGGGAAAAACTGCTTCTTAGAATAAAATTATATGAATCATCATTGAGAAAGTTCAGCATGTGCCTTCTGGCTGAGCTTGCTAAATGAAACTAACTAATTGATTAAGGGATCATATCGATTGTATTAATGCCATTGATTCATTAGGGCAACTACTCATTCACTCTCATCACAGTTATAAATTAGTATAATTTTAGATGATATGCTGGAGTTCCAATATTGGCGGGACCTTTCATGTGGACCTAGACAACAATCAACCTGGTTAGTTTTTCATGGTCATCCCACACATTCAATATGCCGAGGCACTATACCTGCCATCATATATATCCTTCATCGAGAAGAATGTGATACATGTTACTGCTTATGAACTCTCTATTAACAAAAACAGTGTGAGTAGTAGTTGTCTTCAAATTGGCCAAGAATTGCATCCTCTCCTTTCATTTAATTGCTTGTGTTTGTGAGCAGCTGCTGCACATCCCTTTCAGACATTTGGTATGTTATATGAAATCAGGGAACATGGAGAAGAATTCGGTTACATACTTATGTTGAAATAAACAGTTCTTTGAACTTGTTAGGATCATTTTTTACTTACAAAATTTTGTGGTTTTTTTATTAGACTAACGAACCCCAAGGGCCCGCCATTCGATGTTGAAGTGGCACGGTTTCCTCTCCAACTGCCTGAATATATCTTCTGATCTGAAAAGAAATGGGTGGTTGAATTACAAGAGATGTTGGTATCATACACTCGTACACCCCAGAAGAATACTAGTTCCAAGACATCTGTAACTTTACATAATTATGTTTCACCGAAAAGACCTGATTGCTGTTCAATTGTTGTGGATCTGTTCTTATATTCTTTTTATATTTATATATTTCCTATCTTGTGGTACGTTTGGTCATCAAGTTGGACTGTTCAAAATCCGATGGCCCTTGGTCCTTGGATAGACCAAAAATAAGGTCTACGCGCTGTTGTTTCAGGAAATCAGATGTACTAAAAAAATCTAGAAAGTTGGACCGTTTGATTTGTGCATTATTTTTAGAAGGGAAATTGTCTAAAACCACCTTTGACTTGTTTGTTTAAAACTCTAGTTTAGACAGTGAGAGAGGGTAATGCTAAATGTCATTCATAAGAAGTGTCCTGCGTGGATTCATTTTACTTGGTTATAAAACATTGATTTTGAATTTTGTGGGCCTTGTGGCGAAGGGGGGTGTTTGGATAGACTAAAAATAAAGGTTGTTTTTCAAAAGACGAAGGGGGGTGTTTTGTACTGTAGTTATGGGCCTTGTGGCTCATTTTACTTGGTTTCAGAACGTGCTACAGAGGAAATGGTTCTGAAATTAAATATATTGTGAAATTTGTGCTTAACGCCAAAAATCTCATGTTTCAAAGTCTACTACACCTTGAACACTTGTAAAGCATTGATTTTGAATTTTTTTAATAACAATATATGTATTTCAAATTTCAAAGCTTTGAAACATACCACACAACTATAGTATAGAATATAATATGGTGTGATGTGTTTCAAAACTTACCATTTAAAATTGACCATAGTGGGGCCCAGTGGTCTGAAGCATAACACACCTTTTTTGGCGCCATAATACCAAACGCCCCCAATTTGCCATTAACCTGTGTGTGAAGGATCTGTCTAAAAAGGTCATTATCCAATGTTGGTCCAATTCAACTGTATAGGATTATCTATATATATCTTCTTTTTTGATGGGCAAAGCTTTATGTGGTCTTGGGAGGGGAGGACCGGATTCAAGCTTTTGTTATTTGTACTGTGTTCTTGTGCTTGTGGGGCAAAAGATTTTTCAATGCCATGAATTCACCTAAATTGATAGATTTGTTAGAAAGAGTGCATGAATTCACCTAAATTGATAGATTTGATAGAAAGAGTGCAAATCAATATAGATAGTGTTTGATAGTGTTGGTGCAGGTATCACGTATCCTGAATCAACCCGTGAAGAAAAATGGAGAACACACACAAATAGCAAAGTCAGGAGAGCACACACTTCAAAGAGATTTTTTATTAAAATTGTAAAAGAAAAAGATACAAGATAGACAACTTTTTTTTTGTAATTGACTTTGTGGTTACCATGCACTAATAGCCACTTTCTGTAACTAACTTTATTTTTTAGTCAATTCCAACATCCCCTACCTTGATTCAAAAAAATTTCAACTCTCTTCTTAAACATGCTCCATTTCTCTATCTAGAATACCCCTTCTTCTTGGGGCATTCACAACTTAGCACCATTGTATGTTTGAAAGATTTAGGCAATGCCTGAATCTCTCCCTTGGCAATGGCTTGGTCATCATGTCTGTTATGTTCATTTGGGAAAAAATCTTCTCCAACTAAATGTCACCATCTACTACAAAATATCTAAGCCTATGATACCGCACATCTATGTGCTTAGCCATTGCGTGGTATACTAAATCCTTTGCAAGACATATAGCACTCTAACTGTCACAGTGAACACAAATGTTCTTCTGATCAATTCCAAGCTCTTGAACCAATTCTCTCAATAATACAACTTCCTTGGCTGCCTCTACTACTGCCATGTACTCTGCTTCTGTAATAGATGGAGCTACTGTATCTTGTAATGTAGATCTCCAACTAATAAGACCCTGACCAAGAGTGAAAATATATCCTATAGTGGGCTTTCTTTTGTCAAGGTCACCCGCAAAATTTGAATCTACATACCCAACCATTTTGTTTCCTTTCAAACCATTATGAAATAATAAACATGTATCTTGGATACCGTTCAAGTAGCGCAGAATCCACTTTACAACATTCCAATGCTCCTTCCCCGGATTAGCCATAAATCTGCTCATAACACTAACTGCTTGAGATAAGTCCAGTCTGGTGCATACCATAGCATACATAAGACATCCAACTGCACTGACATATGGTATATGTATCATCTCCTCACGTTCTTCCTTTGTCTTTGGGAAATGTTGAAGAGATAGTCTAAAGTGTTGAATTAGTGGTGTGCTCATTGCCTTAGCCTCCTTCATATTGAATTTGGTCAATACCTTCTCAATATACCTTTTGGGTTAACCACAACTTCCCATTGCGCATGTCTCTTTGAATTACCATACCCAAGAGGCCAAGATTTTCTTTGCTCCACCTAAATCTTTCATCTCAAATTTCATTTTCAATTCATGTTTTAACTTAGCAATCTCATGTAGAGTCTTACAAGCAGTAAACATGTCATCAACATAAAGCATCAATAATATAGTGGAGTCATCATGAAGGAAACGAAAATAAACACAATTGTCGTACTTACTTCTGATGTAGCCATGCGAAGTCATAAAAGTGTCAAAACGCTTGTACCATTGCCTCAGTGCTTGCTTAAGGCCATAGAACAACCTATTCAACTTGTATACCATTTGTTCTTTGCCTTTCTCGACAAACCCATCGGGCTGCACCATGTAAATTTCCTCTTCTAAGCTTTCGTGGAGGAGAATTGTCTTCACATCAAGATGCTCCAACTCCATATCCCACATAGCTACCATCACCAACATGATTCTAATGGACTAGTGCTTCACTATAGGAGATAAAGTTTCATTGAAGTCCACTCTTTCCTTTTGTGCATATCCTTTCGCTACTAACCTTGCCTTGTACCTAACTGGTTCGCTTGCAAATGAAGCATCTTTCTTTTTGTACACCCATTTGCACCTAATAGCCTTTTTACCCTTAGGCAATTCTACTAATTTCCAAGTTTCATTCTTCCAAAGAGAAGCCATCTCCTCTTTCATAGCACCCATCCATAGTGAGCTATCCTTATCTTTCGTTGCTTCCTTGTAGGTCATTGGATCATCACAATTAGTTGTTAATGCATATGCAACTATATCATTAAATCTGACTAGTTTCTTGATGTTGCTTTTAGCCCTGCCTGTAGCAATGGAATATGGTGGTTCCTCTTGGGATTGTGCAACTTCTTGGCTTTGATGAGAAGAGTCTGTAGTGACTGGTTCACTACTCAATTTCTCTTTCTCACTTAGCTCCGCCTGAATTGAGGTATTGCTCTTCTCACCATTTAGGATTTGTTGTTGATTTTTCTTCAACATAGAAGTTTCATCAAATACAACATCTCTGCTTATGTCAACCTTTTTGGTGTTAGGATTCCAAAGTTTGAATCTTTTTACCCCTTCATTGTATCCCAGAAAAATGCAAGGTTTTGACTTAGCATCAAGCTTTGTCCTCTCTCTATCCTGCAACAAGACATAACAAGGGCATCCAAAAATTCTCAAGTAATCAACAGAATTACCAGTCCATACCTCTTCTGCTGTCTTGAGTCTCAATGCTTTGGAAGGTGATCTATTTGCTACATAATAGGCCATATTAACTGCCTCGACCCAAAACTACTTTGGTAAATCTGCAAAGATTCTCATGTACCTTGCCTTCTCTAGTTGTGTCATGTTCATTCTTTTTGCTACCCCGTTCTGCTATAGTGTGCTTGGAGTAGTGAGATGTCGAGTAATCCCTTCTGCTGCACAAAATTTCTGAAACTCTGTCGAGGTAAACTCTCTACCATTATCTATGCATAGGTATTTTATCTGCTTTCCGGTTTGCTTCTTCACTTTTGCCTTCCAAATCTTGAACTTCTCAAATGTTTCAGATTTATGCTTCATGAAGTACACCCAAACCTTTATGGAATAATCATCAACAAAGCTAACAAAATATCGTGCTCCACCACTAGAAGTCACTGGCAATGAACCCCCATGTATCTGCACGCACATACTCAAGAATCTCCTTGCTTCTTTTAGTAGATGCTATAAAACTGACCCTACATTACTTTCCAAAAATATAATATTTGCAAAAATCTAATTTGCAAGGTTTAGCACCATCAAGTAATTTCCTTTTGTGCAATTCTATCATGCTCCTCTTGCTAATGTGTGCCAATCTTAAGTGCCATAACTGACTAGAATCATCATCTAAAGTGGATGTGATAGCCGCATCCCCAGTGATAGTTTTTCCAATTAACCTATATAATGATCATTTTTTCTCTCCTTTTATGACAACCATAGCACCCCGTTTAACTTTTATGACTCCATCAACCCCACTATATGCACACCCAAGATCATCTAAAGCACCAAGTGAAATTAAACTTTTCTCAAGATCTGGGACACGACTAACATTTGTTAATGTTTTAACAATCCCATCAAACATCTTAATTTTAATTGTCTCAATCCCAATAGTTTTACACTTGGCATTATTTCCTATAAGAACTGTGCCGCCAACATGTGACTCATTCGTAGAAAACCAATCTCAATAAGGATGTATATGATAAGAACATCCAGAATCAAGTATTCAAGTATCCAAGGGATCCATACATGAGGAGATCATAAGAAGATCTCTATCATTCTCTATATCAAAAGCAATACTTACCTCGTTTGCAGCTTTGCCTTTCTTCTTTTGATCATCTACAAATTTCTTGCAATCCTTTAGCCAATGACCATCTTTCTTGCACCACTTGCATTGTGTTTTCTTCAATTTGGATTTTGATCTGCCTCTATTCTTCTTATCTCCCCTCTCTTTAGATTTGCCCCGTTCATAACCAAAATCCTTTGCAGTCAAACTTTCACTATCACTAAAGGTAGGCTTTCGCTGCATCTCGTTTGACAACAAAGTACTTGTGACCTCATCCATCACCAATGTATCATTTCAATATAAGATGGTCGTCACCAAATGATCATATGATTCTGGAAGAGATGAGAGGAGAAGAATTGCCTTATCTTCTTCATCAATTTCCACATCTACATATTGAGAAGTTGCACCATCAACCGATTGAATGTATTCAAATGATCCAATAAATTGGTTTTATCGGCCATACACAAAATGTATAATTGCCTCTTCAGGTACAACTTATTGGTGAGAGATTTTGTCATATACAATTTTTCTAACTTTGTCCACAAGCCAATGGTGGTTTCCTCATCGAGTACGTTGTACATCACTTCATCTGCGAAGTATAACTAAATCATGCTCAATGCCTTCAGATCTAACTCAGCCCACTCATCACTTGTCATCT